TGCTACGACTTACCCCGGGAAAACTATGCCTATATAAAATCCCCCTCCCTAAATTATGGGTCTTATGCGCGCCTCATATTTGGCACCACTATTGACCTGGTCTGCTAGCTAGCTAGCACGTGCGCGCGATGGGCAGCCATACCACACGCATGCTCAAGCAGCAGCCGCTAGCTAGCACGCGCACTTGGTGGCCAGCAAAACACCAGCACACGCGCTTGGCCAGCGGCGGCTAGCTAGCTTGCACGCTCGTGCGGCGGCAGTACTAGCACGCACACGCGGCGGGTAGCTCGGCCACTGGTGAAGCAGTGGCGACAGTGGAGGCCGGCAAGGCGCTCGTGGCGGATGGGAAACTGCTGCACCGGCGGTATGCCCAGCTGCGTCGGCACCGCGGCATGCTTTGTGCCGACGTAGGTGGGCTAGAAAGAGAGGAGAGGAGGAGAGAGAAAGGGGTCGGATGGGTGAGTTGGTCCTTTTGTTTGGATGACAGATGGACCAGCTTCGATGTGCAGCGGACGCAGCCGGATGAAGAGAACACAGAAAACGTTCGTTTTATACATGCTTCGGACTGAAATCAGTCCTAAATTTGTGACTGAAATGACTTTGAGCGGACAGAAAACGGACTCCGCATGACAAATTTTTGTGTTTTGACCCTTTTCTGAAACCTATTCAAGATTTGATCCTAATTTAATTTTTTTTCGAGATCTGACCCTTCTGCTACCGCCAGAGTCCATGGCGATAGGGTCTAACAACATACCGACAGGGACTTTGGCGGTAGGAAACATCGCTACTGCCAACCTGGCTGGCGGTAGCCTGCACAACCCTACCGCCAAGGTGCTTGACGGTAGGCACGAGCACACGCTGTGTTCAATACTTAGGAGATTTTTGGCGGTAGGGCATGCAACCCTACCGCCAGAGCCCTTGGCAATAGGCTGTTATACCCTATCGCCATGGTCCCTGACGGTAGCAAAAGGGTCAGATCTTAAAAAAATTTAAACCAAGATCAAATCTCGAATAGATTTTAAAAAAGAAGTCAAAACACGGAATTTAGCCACTCCGCGTTGGGTCTTGATTTTGGTCCGCGTACGGAGACGTACCGGGTGGAGGATTCGGATCGGTGCGTTGGATTCGCTCTCAGCGGACCGAAATCCTTTCCCGCCGCACATGGCACTCGGACTCCCAACAACAGACACATTCCCTGAAAAAAAAAATACTGCTACGTTCCCTGAAAATAAAAAACCCAACAGACACGTGGGTCCCACGCCAGCCTCCTCCCGATCCGAGGTGTGATACCACCGATCGACGGAAAGCCGGCCTTGCTGTACGTCACCACCGGGGAAGGCCTTCTCCTCTCGTCTCGACGTCTCCTCTCCTCCTCCAAATCGAGAGGCCATAGAGAGAGAGGGTCAGAGAGAGAAACCTAGCCCCTTGAATGGAGGACTCGAACGGCGCCGAGATCAAGGCCCCGCCGCCAGTCCAGCGACGCCCGCCGCGCCCGCGTGGAGGCGGCTTCACCCCCGAGGGCTTCGTGGCCGCGCTTCGCCGCCGGCTGAGCTCCGGTGCCGCGGTGGCCGCGCGTGCCAGCTTCGCGGCGGACTCTGGGGACGAGTCCGGCCCCCCCGAGCCCTCCTCGTCGCACAGCCGCCGCGACTCAAGCGGGGACACCTCGTCCGCCGGCGGCCCCGGGGACTTCACCGCGTTCAGCTTCCGCGCGGCTGCCCCAGTCCACCGGAAGGCGAAGGAGAGTCCCCTGAGCTCCGACGCCATCTTCAAGCAGGTGGGCTCCTCCCGCTCTGGCCCCCATTTCGTTAACAGACCTAACGAAACTTCGTTTAAATGCTTAGCTCTGTCGGTTGCTCAATTGTTTATTTGGGTCTGAATTTCATTATGACTGTTATGTAACGATAATTCAGGCGTTTCCTTGTCATAAAAAGTTGCTGCTCTTTTGGGTCGAAATCTGAAAGAAGATATGTTTTTGATGCGTGCGAGAAGCACAAATCTAGTACAGTGCAGTAGTATGATTTTATTTTTTTGCGGGGGTGCACTATGATTGGAAGGTTGGTCGCGGAATCACGTGATTTATGTGGTCAGATAGATGGTCACTGGTAGTTGTGGGTTTAATTCACGTGCTTTCTTTTTCAGTGTGATATGTGACCATAGTTGATAAGCACGATACGTTAGTGCTTTATTAGGTAACTCAGGTCGCACGCTGAAATGCAACGGACATAGCTATCCTTTTTGCTAATGATTTGTCCTTGGCCTTTTTTTTTCTATTGCTTGTGCTTTTCCGTCAGAGCTGTTTTATGGATGGCATATCTTCCAGCTGCCAGAGTCATTGTTCTCTGATACTTTTTCTTGTCATTTATAACAGAGTCATGCAGGCCTTTTCAATCTGTGCATTGTTGTTCTCGTTGCAGTGAACGGCAGGCTGATTATTGAGAACTTAATGAAGGTTTTTATCTGCCTTTTCTCATCTAGTAAATATAAACCATCCCCTCACTTCATCATAGACATACCGTATTTGTTTATCAGTCTTTTACTCCTGATGCTGTTTGCAGTATGGCTTATTAATACGAGCTGGCTTTTGGTTCAACTCTACATCATTGCGGGACTGGCCACTTCTAATGTGCTGGTAATATTCAGTTCTGCTATAGTGTATGCCGTTGTGTTTGCTTAATGCCTTCAATGAACTGATCGTGTTTACGATTTTCCTGGTCCAGCCTTAGTCTACCAGCCTTCCCCCTTGGTGCATTTTCAGTTGAGCAGTTGGCGTTCCGTAATGTTATTACTGATGCTGTAAGCCGGGACTCTCTTAACTATATATCGTGCATCTTACTTTACTGATATACTGTATTCTAATGAACATCTTGAGTTGCCCATGTTTTGTGTAGATCTTGGGTTCTCTTGTTATATCTATCATTTCTTCATATTTTTGTACTCTTGCACGAACTAACACCGATGTTTTACTCATTCTTTGCAGGTTGCTACCTGTCTTCATATCATTCTTACAACAGCTGTAATTGTATATCCTGTGCTTGTCATTCTTATGTAAGAACATTCATCTTTTCGAATTTATGTGAAATAAGAGAGCTTCAGTTACATGCCAAGAATGTCACATAGAGGCATAACAAAGTGCATGCACACATATACCATATATCACATCTGAATGCTGTTTCTAGCTTCAACATAGAATTGCATTTCATTCTTAACTCCCAAAGTTAAAGCTTTTGCAATAATAGGATATCATTGCTCTGCATTTCCCTGATACCACATGCTGCCACTTGGTTCAGGTGTGATTCTGCGGTTGTGTCTGGTTTTTTGTTGATGTTTATTGCATGCATTGTTTGGCTGAAGCTCGTATCTTTTGCCCATACAAACCATGACATAAGGCAATTAACCATTAGTGGTAAGAAGGTATGTTTCCATAATTTTCATTCCTTTTGTTTTATGGGCTTTCATACTCAGTTTGATTGGGGTGGATTGGGCCACAGCCAACAAATAGCAGGTCCTGACACTTCCCCTTGTTTCACTTTCTTATGAATATATCTGAAATGTTTTCCAGCACGATCATAAACATATACCTTATGGTACTTACTCCCTTGGGATTCTTGTATTTGCACTTCAACAGAGATGCATGTCGAAAGTATTGGATTACCAAGGTTAATTTTTTTTATAGGATTACCCCTCTTTACTAGCCCACTTATTTCTCTTGGATGATTTGTTATTTTAGTAGTACTTATAAATGCCCAAACCAAGGGCAGAGTCTGGACTGGGATGGTGGTGGTGTGTGTTGGGGATATAGAGGGGAAAAAGTTAGCTGTCTCAGAACAAATCACATGGCCCGCTTCTCTAATGCTGGTACTACAGCTTGAAAATTCTTAGGTGATACGTTCTATCCAATTTCTTAAATAAATTGCTATTTTAATGGATGAACTGTTCAGTTCCTAAAATTTCCATGAAACGCTGCTTCTGTTCCTCGGTCTTATTGTTTGCTCTTCTGTGCAGCTTTTTGTTTTGATACTATTGCTATCTTATTAAGCTTTGTTTTGCTCCACAATAACATTCCATCTATTAGGTTGATAATGCACCCAGCACAGATGACATGGATAGTTTACAAGCTCCAACTTTAGGGAGCCTAGTATACTTCATGATGGCTCCAACACTGTGCTATCAGGTATGTTTCTGATCATCCTGCATAGAGAGGCAGTTGTAAACGCATCGTGCTAATCCTGACTTCTAGAAGGTAGTTATTCTGATTGGATGATTTAATGATTCCACAGCCATATTTCCATCATATTTGGCAGAGGAACCACGGCACATGTATCTTATACTTTTACGGCCTAATATATCATTTTGTTTCTTTGATTTTAACAAAATTAAGTCATTTCTCCGACTTATTTCAACAAGGTAGAAAATGTTTCCCTACAAAGATTATGATGCAAATCTGAAGTTTACGCGCTTGTTAGCAAGGCACTCAGAAGATAGATTGCAGTCCTCTGAGCCTCTTTTCGGCTAGCTTTGATTCCATTTCGTGTATTTACATATATTTATATAATACTCACCAACAACTCAATGTCTTGGGGGAACCGTCATATACTCCCTCCGAGTCCGATCCAAAATAAGCGTTGCAGTTTTGAACCAGGGTTAGTTCAAAACTGCGACCCTTATTATGGATCGGAGGTAGTACAACGCTAACCTAGAGGTCTCGAGTTAATTGTACTTGAGTCTGTATGCAGTTTCGTTGGTCAGTAGTGACTGCCAGTTGACAATACCGCATGCTCTTATTGTTGGAGCATTTATCTTATCAGCGTCATTTATTGTTTAAATTACAATTTTCATTTCCATCTAGCTGCGAAAGGGATTGTAGGAGGTTATTTGCTGTTCAAATGAACTAATTATTGGTATTAATTATGCAGCCAAGTTATCCTCGAACTGAAAATGTTAGAAAAGGGTGGCTGATTCGTCAAATTATTCTGTACTTGATATTTACAGGTATTCAAGGTTTCATTATTGAGCAGGTAAGCCATTTCATCTTTCTATGTCTTACAAAATACTGAACATGGTTCTTAATCATCTATTGACTTTTTTGAAATTGCAGTACATAAATCCAATCGTCGTGAACTCTCAACATCCATTGAAAGGCGGACTTCTGAATGCTATAGAGACTGTTCTGAGGCTCTCATTACCAAATGTTTACTTATGGCTTTGCATGTTCTATTGCTTTTTCCATCTCTGGTAAATGCCTATTCATCAATCAAGAGAATAGTTAATTTCAGTACATCACGGGATGAAAGTCTATTTGTTTTTGAATTTGTTCTCTGGATTATCCGTCACATAGAAATTCTCTTAAACACTCTCGGAATAATGCAGATTTACAGTTTGAACTCATATTGTTACACAGGTTAAATATACTTGCTGAGATTCTTCGTTTTGGTGACCGTGAATTCTACAAAGACTGGTGGAATGCAAAAACAATTGATGAGGTGAAATACAAAAGTTCTTGAAGTTAGTACTGATTTTCTTCTCACTTAAACATACCTAATTTTGTGTATGATATTTGCTTCTGCTGCATGTGCTTCTGTACTCGGGTGGTGTTAGTATTGGCGAAAATGGAACATGGTATGCTAGTCTTTTCTCAACCATGCTACTTTTTGCAAGCTGCTTGTAATAAAAAACAATATCTGTACATAAGCTTGCATCTTTCCGATGGAGTTATAATCTTTTTCCTATTCAAAGGTCAAAGAAATGTCAAGCTCAAAATGGAGTTTTTTTATAAGAATGAATTTGATAATTTTTTTTCTGCTATATTGCTTGCTGTTGGTCTGTTAATTTCTTTGTTCATTTTCCACTTTCATGGTTTTAATATGGATGATGTCTATGTTCACAGCCCGTGCATAAATGGATTGTTCGTCATATATATTTTCCTTGCATGCGAAGTGGTATATCGAAGGTAAATTGCAATATGTTAAACTGCTATGCTGGGCATGCGTTGTACATAGTTTATGTTTGGTCATTTGTGCTGTTTTTCTTGCAGGAAGTTGCTGTTTTTGTATCATTTTTTGTATCTGCCGTGCTCCATGAGGTAAACTTGCTCCCTTTGCCTTCCCTCACATAACCACACTAATTATCTAGCACTCTTTAACCACTTTTGGCACTTGTTGGGTCACTTGGGTGGCTTACTTTGTTCTCTGTTTGATGTTCAATAAAAGTAGCATCTCGTCCTGTTGTGGGTAAATCATGATACCTTTTGATTATTGTACACCAGCTTGTTGTTGCTGTCCCCTGCCGAATTCTCAAGTTCTGGGCATTCTTAGGGATCATGCTGCAGGTATGCCAAAACTTATTGCTGCATCATAGAATATTGTGCAAGATATGTTGTTAATTTCTAACTTAAATTGTGGTCACTTTTGAGAGTCATCCTATATGTTGTCTCTTGTCTTCTACTCTAGTAGTATGTTGTAAGATACTACCTCTGTTTATAAATATAAGATGTTTTGGCAGTTCAATTTAAACTGCCAAAACGACTTATATTTAGGAACAGAGGTTGTACTTGATAGTAAGTAGGTCCGTCCTGGTGTATCATCTAAGACAGCGAACTTTGCTTACATCATCTCCTTTTCTCCCTTGTTACCAGATCCCCCTTATCACATTGACATCATGCCTCAAAAACAAATTCAGGGATACAATGGTTAGCCATCCTTTCCTTGTTTCCTACTAAAGGGTTCTACTTTCATGTAAACTAGTTCTAATTTATAGTCACCTTCAACAGGCCGGCAACATGATATTTTGGTTCTTTTTCTGCATCTACGGCCAGCCTATGTGCGTTCTCCTGTACTACCATGATGTGATGAACAGGATTGGGAAGACAGAATAGAGCCCCATATTCTTTCTTATTCCACTTTGGACCAACGGATTCAGAGAAGCAATAATATGTACAACATGAAACCGCATAATTTCTTACACTGCAACAATCTTTCTTGGAAAATCTAGCAGCTAACTAGTCGTGGGCATTATTGTACATGTACATAAGCTTATGTTTTTCACATTC